ATTTAATCTTGTCTTTGAGATGATTTATACTTACCTAAGATTCCTCATCGGATTCTCTAATTGCCATAAGTGCTTGTTCATCTCCATCTTCATCCTCTTTGTCCTCATCTGAGCTTTCTCCCTAGGAAGCAACCATAGCCTTTGTTGATACTTTGTTCTTCTTGGGTTGAACTTGTTCCTTCGTTAAGCTCTTTCCTTCTTCCATTCAATTTCCCATTGAGGGCAGTTTTTGATGTGGTGATCAATCTTCCCACACTTGTAACACCCCTCACTAGTTTGTTTTTCAAGAACCCTTGGTTTGCTGTAGCTTCCACTTCTTGAAAGACCATTTTCCTGTCATTAGGTACTTCTTGAAGTCCTTTGTGATCATGGTTATTTCATCCTCCTCTAGATCAACACCTTCAGTGATTCTGAATGCTAGGCTCCTTTCCTTCTTGGGTGCATCCATCTTCATGGTTTGCCTTCTAAGTTCATAGGCAGTGAGATTTCCAATTAGCTCATCCAACTTAAGAGTGGAAATGTTCTTTGATTCCTGAATAGCAGTGATTTTGCTTTCCCAAATAACAAGCAAAACCCTTGTCAGAATTTTCTCAACCTTGTCTTCTTCAAGAATAACCCTTCCAAGAGACTTAAGTTCATTTGTCAGTATGGTGAACCTTATATACATCTCTTGGAGTGTTTTCCCTTCCTTCATGGTGAAATTCTCATATTGAGAATACAGCAGTGTTCCTCTGGACCTCTTCATTTGAGGTGTTCCTTCATGAGCCACTTGCAAAGTGTCCCAGATTTTTTTAGCAGTGGTACAACTTTGAATTCTACTGTACTCATCTGGACCAAGTCCACGCACAAGCCATTTCTTGGCTTTAGCATTCTTTTCTCATTTTCTCAAATCCTCAACATTGCAGACAACTCTTATTTTTGGCACTTTTACTCCTTCAGCAGTATTCTTTATGGTTGCCAGGGGACCATCAGTAACAATGTCCCATAGTTCATAGTCTTCTCCGATAATGTGATCTTTTATTCTGTTTTTCCACCAAGAGTAGTACTGGCCATTAAATAGTGGAGGCCTAGCGGTGGATTGCCCTTCTCAATTTCCAGGTGGTGCACTCATCTTGATCTTTTCCTAAGGTGTTAGCCTCTTCAAGGATAACATGCTCTGATACCAATTGATGTTTTATACTTCAATACCACATAAGAGGGGGGGAGGTGATTTGTGTGGTGACTAATTTTTCGCTTAAACTGATTATGGAAGATAGTTCTTCTATGTGTTCTTACTACTACTGTTGCGGAATAATAAATGTAGAAAGTAAAGAACACAAGTATTTTTACGTGGAAAGTACCCGGCTCAAAAGGTGAAAAACCCATGACCTACTACTCAGTAGGATTTTTCCAACACTTCACTAAATCACTGAGCCAAAATAGAATTTACAAAACTCTTTGTAAACCTAAGGATTAACTCTAATCTCGTTGTAGCACACAACCTCAATTGTTGCGACAACTTCAAGTTAACTCTATCTTGAATACTCAAAATACCTATTACAATTGATTCTAAATAAGTTGAAAGGTACAATGTAAAATCATCTACTACAATTGAACTAGAAATAAAGAAAGACAGATAAAACTTTTTATGGAGTTGGTTCTTCAATCTGGTTCATGTAGCTTCAGGTTTGCACACTTGAATCACACACGAACTGCTTGCAAAAAGCCTTGATATTTTGCTCTCAATTCATGTTTAACTTCTGCGTTTTTGTGCAACACTTGTAATGTGAGAACATCCTGCAATTTATAGAGTTAGTAGATTGAGAAATAACTAGAGTTCTGATGCAACTCTTCCTTGGTGGAAGAGTTCTAGTTGATTTCAACTTCTAACTCCTTCCCTATCTTGGATAGTGTTCTCTTTGATTAAGGAGTCCTTCTCCTTATCAATTATGCAACCTTTTCGATCAGGAGATATTAAATATACCAAGTTAAGCTTATCTCCTTCACGTGCATCCCACATGCTCGAATCTGCCCGTTTTTATGAACTTGAGGGATGGACCACTGGGATGGACCTGGTTCATGTCTGAGTTCCTTTGTCAATCTTCAAAACTTAACCTTTACTTGGGCCAACAACACTCTAGTTTCTATCATTTCTGATCGAGGGACATAGTTCACGACTAATTTTTGGAAGAAATTTCAGCAAGTTTTGGGTACTCAAGTGAATCTTAGTACAACCTTCTACCCACAAACTGTGGGCAGGCAGAGCGGACTATTCAGACGTTTGAGGATATGTTGTGCGCGTGTGTTCTTGATTTTAAGGATAGCTAGGATGACCATTTGCCACTCATAAAATTTGCCTACAACAATAGTTATCATGCTAGTATTCAGATGGCTCAATTCGAGGCGTTATATGGTAGGAGATGTAGATCTCCTATTGGGTGGTTCGAGACTAGGGAAGTTGAATTGATAGGACCAGACCTCGTGCATCAAGCAATGGAGAAGGTAAAGGTCATTAAGTAGCGATTAAAAACTACTCAGAGTCGTCAAAAGTCCTATTCGGATGTTCGTCGCAGAGATTTGGAGTTCAAAGAAGATGAGTGAGTATTCTTGAAGGTTTCCCCCATGAAGGGTATAATGTGGTTTGGAAAGAACGGGAAATTGAGCCCGAGGTATGTCGTACCATACAGAATCATTCAGAGGATTGGCCAGGTGGAGTACAAGCTTCCACCTAAGATGTCATTAGTGCACCTGGTATTCCATGTGTCTATGTTGAAGAAGGCAGTTGGAGATCCGTTGCTTATTGTGCCATTTAAGACCGTTGAGGTTAATCAAGAACTGAATTATGAAGAAACTCCAGTTGCCATTCTTGATAAGCAAGTCCGAAAGCTAAGAAATAAAGAGATTGCCTCCGTGAAAGTGTTACGACAAAACCAATTGGTCGAAGAGGCCACATGGGAAGCTGAGAAGGAGATGAAGAAGAAGTTTCCTCATTTGTTTGAATAGCTATGTAATTAAGTATTTGTGTTCTATGAAGATGTTGAGAGCTTACCTGTCACGCCCCAAACCTGGGGAGGTATGGCTAGCACCCGGTACCGTAGTGGACCGAGCGAACCACTTTGTAACTCATTCGTTCCTTTTGTAACTATCATGGGCCAACATGGCCACAACTTATAATGTACAATTTTAAGTGGGCAATTGTTATATTAATGAACCATTAATCATAAAAGAAGGATACATATGAGTCGTCAAGGCCTCTGATATGCTGTACAAAATAAACCTCTGTCTACAAAGCCTCTAAGATTATTTGACATCAAATTGGGAAGGGTAGCGGCCTACCCATAAGTATGTAATAAAACTTCAACGTGATGACTCGTAGACTCTGATGCACTCCGAATGAGGTAGAGCCTTACCGATACTTCGCTGAATGCCAAGATCGTCCACTATGAGGGTTCGTCAAACTGATTATCTATACCTGCAGGCATGAATTCAGCGTCCCCAACAAAAGAATGTCAGTAGAAATAATTACCGAGTATGTAAGGCAGAACTGAAAGCAGAAATTACTAGGATGTCCACTTACTTTTCCTCTAATTTAATATATCTTTTTGACAAATTAATAATTTTTATAAATGTTTGGGCAACATAGCATGTAGTGTACAAAAAGTATACCATAAAGTAGAAGGCCTACAAAAAGGTATGGTTTTCTTCACAGTTAGTTAAAAAAATTCTTTTCTCTCCGTCTTGTACCATTTATTTTACTGATTTTTGCATTTTAATTTGATAAAATTTTTTGATTGCACAGAACTACTCGCTTAAGGGGTAAAAGCATTCAGAAAATAGACCACTTAAGTTAGTTAACACCTGATCAAGTCCCAGAAAAGAAGACACTTGTAGAAGAGAAGAAACATATGCTTAATTTTAGAAAACACTTGTAGGATATACTGTTTCTACATACCACATGCATGTTTGGGCTTGGTGTATGCATGTTTGGGCTTGGTGTATGAATCTTCAGAAGTGATCCAAAGTTTTAACGTACGTATCGCACAAAGAATCCACTCAGACCAATAGAGAATATGAATTAATATAAGACAGAGAAGAAACATGGGATAAATGACTCAACCTGTAAGTCTGGATAGCTCTGTAAATCGTGAAATATTTATAATATTATGCATATGCGTATAAATGTCATGTAATGCATAGGTATGTATGTACAAAATATCATCAAGCCTCTGAGGGCATCCCATCATATTATCTCAGCCACTGTGGGCAGAATCATCAACGTATACCAGCTGATCAGGTGGTGGTGCGTATATAATGCCGTAACCTTTTCACATATCCTACATACATACTGTGAGCACGTGATTTTTGCCCTATGTGAAATACTCCTACAAATTAAGGAAATAAATTTTTCCCAACTATTTTCAATTTTATAGGATTTTTGTAGAAATTTGTGTCAATTGTTTGCATTTCTGTGCATGTTTTACCTTTATTTAAATAAACAAAATACCAAAAATACCTTGCATTTCAATGAGATTTTGTTTTCATATTTTTAGGATTAATTAGTAAATTAGTCGTTTTATTAAAAAATAAAAATCACAAAAAATGGTTCACTTTTTATATTTTTTGCTTTTAATTTTAGATTAGTAGTCTAACCTTTTAATCTAGGAGCAACTAATTTTTATAAATAGCTTAATTTAAATTAATTTAGGAATTTAATTTAGTTTTTAATTAATTAGAAAAAAACGAGAAGAAAAGAGAAAAAGAAAACAAAGAAAAAACAAAACAAAAGGGGTTTTCTCGATTTAGGCCACCCAAGAGACCCAACTGGTGGCCCAAAACTCCTTTAGACCAAAAAGTCGCCCCAGCCCAATCCTTTTCCCCAGCCCAGTTCCCCTGCCATGCCCAAACAACGTCGTTTAATTGCTCTCCATCTTGGTCGTTGATCCTATGTGATCTAACGGTCCGGAACTAACCCCCTCACCCCCTTAAAACTATCCCAATCGACCCCCCCAAACCGTGAAGACCCCTCCCCATTCTCTCATCTCTCTCAAACTTTAACCAGCTGCCCCTAAACCACCCCAACTCCCTGACCAGCGGCCACCACCATAACTCCTCCAAATCTACCCAAATTCACACCCCGTAATCCCCTCCTCCCCCTCATCTCATATCTCATTTTAGTATCTTTTAAAACATCCTAGAACTCCCTAAGTTTTAGATCTATAATGTCCAGAAATGTCAAGCTTCTTTTTCTTCAAATTTTCCGTTGATTTTAGCATGTTTTGAGTTAAAACTAACATTAGCTAATGGTTTTTGTAATATGGGGGTCTGGAAGGGCGATACAGGAATAAAAATTGAGGGAATATTATCTATAACCGATTGAGAACATTCTAGAAATAGGATAAGGGATCAAGATACAATGAAATTAGAATTTAGGTCAGATTTTGGGTAAAATAGGCCAATATGAAAGGTAAAAAGGGTTAAATAATATATAGGAAATATCTGGATAAGACAACTGTCCTAACAGTTGTCCATTTCTGTTAGAAAGGATTCTTTTTCCTTGAAATTTTGGAGGAGCACATGCGTTCTTCTCATCTCTTATTTAGGAAGAACTTCCTCTTCATTTTTGGAGCACGGGAAATAGACTCTAAAAAACTCTCAAAAAATAAAATCCAGCTGAATTCTCGACTGACTCTTTCTGGGAAAACATTTTTCTTCTTTTCGATTTTCTGATTTCTCTCTTTGAGTCATGGTTTGATAATGAAGCTGTATTGATGATTACTGCTGCTCCCTGCTGCTGAGTCCATCACTCTTTGCTGATTTCTAAACACATTTTTTTTGTTGCTTGCTGTATCAGGTACTACCTTGAAACCTTGAGCTGCAAGTTAAATGTGAAGATATGAATATTTTTGGGATTAATACAACCATGTCATTTTTAGTAAATAACTCTTATGTTTTATTAACTCATGTAATTCTTTCCTTGGTTAGCTAATATCATGTGTTGTCTTTTACTAGTAGATGAAGATTTGTGTTTGGGACATAAGATTCATGTAATTATGGCCTCTTTCTTCCTCTTCATCTTCTCTGCAATCTTGTTTAATGTTTGAGGCGTGTACAACCATTTCATTCAGCCTTGTTTGAATTGCAATATGAAATGAAATTATTGAGTGTGTACCTGTAACATTTCTTTAATTTTATTTTTGGTTTTGTTAAATTTTAAGTGAAAGTTTGTTGTTGACTTAGGTTCCCTTGTTCTGTTAAAATTTTGGAATTGTTATTTTGGATTCAAATCCAACTTAGATAAGTTTAAATTTGCCCGAAAATTCTGTCTCTGTTTAATATTTGAAGTCATGAGAGCATTAAATCACTTTGCTAAATGGAGTTTAGCTTTTCTTTTGAAGACCTGTTTTAGCCCATTGCATTTATGTTCAGCTAGCATATGATATTCAATTAAGTGTTTTTGAGTTGGTTTAACAAAAGTTAAGTTTAAATCCTTAAAGATCGGAACTGGATCAAATGTTATGGGTCTCAACTTAGGCCCAAGGACCCCTCACATGTTTGGATTAGAGTCCAGATTTGTCGCCTAACCCCTATCTGCAAAAAACATGCGATGTTAATCAGTTATTCCTCAGATTTTTATAGACTAGGATCATGATTTGGGGATTTGGATTTCCTTATGTCACCATGTGATAAATTTGTTAATTTGATTCCATGCTCAATGTTGTATTTTCGGAATTGATGTTAATTTGTGCATAAAGAGCGAATTGAGCCAGGCTTCATAAATGGCCCAAATAGGGTTGTGCATATAAGTCTGGATACTTTCAAGATTTGGGCCCTAGAATTTGACCCAAAATAATTCATATGGACTTAAGGTGGCTAGTTTTTGTGTCCCAATTGTTCAACAAGTTGGTTAAAAGGACCAACGACATTTCCAGGCTTCTTGTTGTAATCAGTAGTAAAACCAAACTCGAACATATAGCGTCAGGTCCAAGAATGCTTAGCGATAACAATTTGTCTTTCCATCATAATTAAGCAAACCCAACGAGCCTTAAGTTTGGTCCTTGATTTCAGACAGAGACCTTATACCAGTATTAAGGAATAAAATAATGATACTCATAGCTTGCTTTAGGCGCGTTCAATATACCATCGTGGTTGTGTACACGTTCGCGTGACATAATTACGGTCTTAAAAACAAAATCGGGATATGCGTTCGTGCAACTTTGACTAAACATTCTTAATAATAATAAAACGTTATTAATTGTGGACACGTTCGCGTGACATGATTTGACGCGCCAAACAAATGGGTACACGTACGCGTGACCTGTTTCAAGATAATTTCTTAACTAAAAGAGGTAAATGCACATAGGTTCTAAAATAAGTAATTAAATAATTTGATTAAGCCAAGTATAATCAAAGCGACCGTGCTAAAACCACGGAACCCAGAAATGTCTAACACCTTCTCCCGGATTAATAGAATTCCTTACTCGGATTTCTGTGTTCGCAGACTGTAAATAGAGTCAACTTCCTCGATTCGGGATTTTAAACCAGTGACTTGGGATACCAATACTTATTCCAAGTGGCGACTCTGATTTAAATATTAATAATTCCGTTTCGATTATCACTTAAATTGGAAAAAACTCCCTTATACCCCTTACGGGTATAGGAAAAAAAAGGTGTGACACACACACACACACACACACACATATATATAAATATATACGCGTATATAACGTCGTCTGAGTCATATTTCAGCCACTGTAGGCAACATCATCATTGTATACCAGCTGATCAGGTGGTGGTGCGTATATAACACCATAATCTTTCCCATATCACATATACACATATATACGCATATATAACGCCATCTAGTCATGGGTCAACCTGCATGTATAAATGCATGGAATGCGTTAATAAAATCTCTCGGTACGTCATAAAACTATTATGTCTCTGATTAATATCATGAAATAAATTTTACCAACTTACGTATTTTTGAAACCCATGAACATATGATAGAATAATAAACATAAATAATTTTTCACTTTGGCAATCCTCCCGGACATTCATGATCTTTCCAAAAAAGATCCATCTTTCAAAGTGTTTAAGAATGTTCTAATTTACTACCTTTATGGAAGAAAAATATTATATAAGCTATAAAAATTGCAGTGCTCAATGCAGCTAAATCTATTTCCTTCTTTGTCCTCCTTAGATTTAATAAAGGACTTATCACTATATATTAAATACTTTTTCCTCAGTCTTTCAGAATTGCTTTGTTAAAAGTATAAAGTCATAAATTTTCAGATATTGAACATACTCGGACAACTTGCCGCTTCCATTCCCATAACATCAATTGCCAATTTAAATTGAATATCCTGCTAGTAAGGCGCAACATGTATACTGGTGCTGATATATGGGATTACCGAATCCAACCAGCATAACTTTCAAGGATTGGTAAAGTTCTAAAATGGACTTCAAGTAGGTTTACTAATTTTTTTTAAAGGATTGATAAAGTAGTAATTAGATTTTCAATAGGTTTTCTATTATAAAATTTTATTTTTGAGTATTATGCATTGGCCAAGTAGAAGCTCAACTTCAACTTTTGAATGGAAAACAAGAATATACGCATCTCTAGCATTTGTACGAATAGAATAATTTATGGAAGTTGTTCATTTGCTCGTTTTGTTAGTGTCGTATAGATCATGCCAAAAAGAAAGAAGGGATAACCTTAACATACCTGAGTCGATTTCCTTGACAATCCCTCTAACACACGTTAATTGTGACAAAATCCGAGACGTCAAGGTCGGAATAGGGAAAAATCTGTATGTTATTCTTGAGAAAGATTGGACCGTATACAAAAGATATTTATTGACCTTTAATATGTCGTTAGACCATGCCTCGAATTAGTAGGTAAAATGATTCATCAACAATCTATACTTGGACAGAGGTCAGAAATCAATCCGGCATATTCTTGAATGTGAAAGATAGATCCTAAAGTTCTACGAAGTCTCAACCCAAAAGCAGCAAACAAAAGACTCTCATCTAGCTAAATAACTTGGTTAAATTTAATACGACCAACACTTCTGTTTAGAATAACTGATCTATGTAGTTGATTGGTTCATAAGCTAGTGAATCAGAATAAGCCAATGAATATAAACAGGAACAAGGGTGCCAAAGTTTTTCCATGAGATGAGAGTTTGCAAATATTTCAGAATACACTGACCTAGGACAAGAAGCATGGCCCACATTTCTTAAAGCTTGCCATCTATTTAATGACTTAAAAGAGTCATCTTAGGTTATAAGGGGGGCTGCCACGTTTTGGGAGGGGGAATTTTTAGTCTTATTTGATAATTTATTAGTTAAGTAGGTAATATCCCGTTACCTCGTAATTAATCAATTACCCGTAAAATTTAAGAATTATCTCAATTTACTTAAAATACTATTCACTTTTAATATACTTTATACATCTTACTATAATATACTTTACTATCGTGGTCATGTGGTACCATATAAAATTAATACATACATTATTACTTTCTTAAAATATCCATGTAAAAAATAATGCACATAACTTATAATTTTCCTAATCTCATAAAAAAAATACAAATTTTCGTACGCTTAATTCTTAAAAATGGTAAAAAGGTAACCTTCTTTTCATGTGAGAAAATAATTTCTATCTTTACAATAAAGAAAATCTCATAAACTTTCTTATTTTATATGTATAATTTAAAACATATTCGAAAGTAGTAATATTAATATCTATATAAAATCATATTTTTCAAATCATTTTTTTTCTTTATAAAAATATTCCACTCAAAATACCATATCAAATATATACATAACAGTATCAAGGTTGTTAAACTTACGGGGTGTAACATCCTTCCCCCCTTTAGAACATTCGTCCTCGAATGTTAACTCTTAGAAATTTTCAAATATGTAACTAATTTAAGACCCAAACTTTATTTGAAGTCTCGACTATTCACAACATTTCGTACTTGAGTATCTCATATTTTATTCACTATTAACTTACTTTTCAATCTCGCATCGTATCTCTCTTTCTTTCATAACCTCCCTTTCATATTACGCCTTAAAGCTCTACTGTGATACCTGCACCTCTGGTGCATACAAAATCTGGTGAAATCTTCATACTGACTTTTTACGACTCAGCTCTATGGCACGATTTGGAAATAAAAGAAGGGTAACATTTCCTAAATGCCCTATAGCCTCTCAGTTATAAAGGTGGCGCACAACTCACCCATAAGTGAGACTCTACTGGGCATGTCTTTGTAGACTCCCTAGGATACGACCCGCTCTGATACCACTTTGTCACGCCCCAAACCTGGGGAGGCGTGGCTGACACCCGGTGCCGTAGTGGCCTGAGCGAACTACTCTGTAACTCATTCGTTCCTTTTGCAACTATCATGGGCCAACATGGCCATATCGTAATGTACAATTTTAAGTGGAAAATTGTTATATTAATGAACCATCAATCATAAAACATGGATACATATGGTCCGTCAAGGCCTTTGACATACTGTACAAAATAAACCTATGTCTACAAAGCCTCTAAGATTATTTGACATCAAATTGGGCAGAGTACCGGCCTACCCATAAGTATGTAATAAAACTTCAACATGATCACTCGTAGACTCGGATGCACTCCAAATGAGGTGGAGTCTTACCGATCCTTCGCTGAATACCAATATCGTCCACTATAAGGATTCGTCAAACTGATTGTCTATATCTGCAGGCATGAATGTAGCGTCCCCAACAAAAGGACGTCAGTACGAATAATGTACCGAGTATGTAAGGCGGAACTGAAAGCAGAAATTACTAGGATGTCCACTTACTTTTCCTCCAATTTAATATATCTTTTTAACAAAGTAATAATAAATATTTGGGCAACATAGCTTGTAGTGTACAAAAAGTATACCATAATGTAGAAGACCTACAAAAAGGTATGGTTTTCTTCACAGTTAGTTAAAAAAATTCTTTTCTCTCCGTCTTGTACCATTTATTTTACTGATTTTTGCATTTTAATTTGATAAAAAAATGTGATTGCACATAACTACTCGCTTAAAGGAGGTAAAAGCATACAGAAAGTAGACCACTTAAGTTAGTTAACACCTAATCAAGTCCCAAAAAGAAGACACTTGTAGAAGAGAAGGAACATATGCTTAATTTTAGAA